CACACTATTATATCTAATTTAGGTTTATATACATTTCGCACTACCAAATGTTGAGAAAATTCACGTGGTCCACTGGTCGAGAGTTCAAACAATGGTGAGTGTAATTTTGGATTTTTTTCATTTAAATTTTAGTGAAGGGAATAATAGACAATTCCGTTTCATCTTCTATTTTAGAATTACGATGCTTGAAATCCTATCTCACAGTGGCCGTTTATTCTTTACAATAGTACTGGATCAGAAAATGACTAATCGGTTGTCTCGATTACTAATGAATTTTTTCGAAATTTGGTGTAACTTTTCAACCGAAGTTACAAATAATTTGATACTATTTGTATTAGAAAACTCAAACCTTTTATTTTTAATAAAATTTCATCAAATTATTTCCAAGTTATATAAGACCTCCACAAAAAGTTAGCTTCGATGTTTCGGTTCTATCCAATTTGGGAAGATGCATATATGTTGTTAGTTTTATGACTTGCATTATGCTCTTAACATGTGGAGATGGTTATGGAAAACTTCAAAGCATACAAGTTGATTTAAAAAACTAGGATGAGAAAGTTATGAAATAGTTATACATGATAAAGGAAGCAAGTTTCTCCTTTATATAAAAGAGGAAGATTTATAGCTCTCTAAGAGCCTTCACATCAGCAAAAATAATCAACAATATAATCAGCCAATAGAATTGCATCGTTTTGCCATATCAGCACGTTTAAACATCTAAACTTCTTTACGCTTATGAGTTTAGCCAAAATTAGGCCCATTTATTGACAAAAAAGTGGCCCATCTCGATAAAACACACGTGCTCCTACTAACTAATTACTCACATGTTGTGTAATCTAGGCCTATTAAAACACTCAACACCCAATGCCACATCAAACATTAAAAGTGTGCCTCACATATGAGAAAATATGTTGGACTCAGTTTAATTAGGCACAACCTAAATTTCATTCTTTTCACCTTCCTTCAATAACCTAAATCTTCCAGAGCATAATACTTGGTATATCTTTTTCTTCTCATCTACGTTACCACAAATTCTCTTTAAAATTCAATTTAATGCCTACTCGGCCACTCCCATGGGATATAGAAGACCTCACACAAGGAGCTATAAAACCTGGAAGTTCCGGTTACAAATGTATTCCACAAAACCCTACGTACAACAATTCCAATCGTCAACCCATCGTCTTCCTCAATGACACGATCTCTTTGGTTTTAAGCTCCTTATATCTCTAATATTAAAACGATCTGTCAAATAAGTTATGGATTCAACTTCAAAATCTCTTTCTTTTTTTTTGAGGTAATCTGGCTGATAATATAGAGTTAATATATTGCCCTTATTATTCTTCTTCTCTGTTATTATGAGTTTTTGAAATCAAATCTAGCACAAGAATTGAAAATCATCAATTTAGAGTTATCACTCCAATTTTTTTGTTTTGTGTGATTATGGAAAAACTTCGAGTCATTTGGCTTGTGGTTATGGAGAAATATCGAATAACCCAGCCCCGAGAAAGGTGAGAAGAACGAGGTATGTATGTTTAGATTGAATTTTTTTGTGCATGTTTGGAAAACACTTCCGGTTGTTTAGATTATTATATCCACTCTTCATCAAATAATATGTTGTGTGTGATTTCTTAGTATAACATTAACGATTTTTAAGCATAGTTGTACTAAACTTGAATATTGGTTGCAGATTCTTAAAGAAAAGTGAGAGTAAGTAAATAAGTCGATGTACATGTTTGTTTGGTAAACATTGCACGAATCTAAAGACTGGTTTTTAATCACAAAAAAAAATTCTAATAACGGGTGGCTGCGATACAATTTCTTATAGATACCAAATTTTAAATCCATAAGAGTCGAGATTTAGAAATATATATATGTAATTCTTTTGGGCATTAAAAATAGGAGTGATTTTTGATTTCTAATTACTTTAGATTCTTTTTATGATATAGATTTGATAAATAAGACGTAATATATTTACAAAGTATATTAAAAAAAATCCGGACATAGCCTGGGACAAACGCTAGTGATAAGAATAA